AATTGATATTCTCGGCAAAATTCAGCTTGATCGTATGGTTTTTATGGGTTGAATCTCTAACAACTGGACTATAACTATATTTGAAAAGTTTGGCACTTAAAAGTATCAGTTTCTACTGAAACTTGGAATATTTTATTTTTTATTTGATTTTTTGACTCATGTTATTTCGGGATATGTTGAAGTTTGTCTTTTTATAGCTGTGTATTTTTTGTGTTAGTATTATTAGTCTGTGATTCTTATACATTTTGTGTCATTTGGAGATATTTGATAGTGAACTACATAGTTGAAAAACTAGAAGAAGCATCCGATTGATTAGCAGTTGAAGTTTCTGTTGCAACGAATTTGTGACTTATTTGAATATTTTCTGTTTCAAATATGTTAACATTAGTAGATTGAGATAGTTGGTTAAGATTTTTCGTATTGGTTAATAACTGGCAAGAGTAATTAATCTTCTAATCTCTATATAATTTCCTTGTATTGAACGGATTTGTGATTCTACAGTAAATTTTCTAATATTAGTGTTACTAAGGTAAATGCATAACCTGTTGTTGGAGATTCTGCTGATGTCTTACCATGTAAAGACATGTCCAGTCTCTTTACATGGTAAACTGAAATTGCTTACGGCGTTGGTGTCGGTTAATGTTAGAGATGTTATAGATGAGGTTAATGTTGAACATGTTGATCATTGTTTGGTGGCTGCTGAGTTAATTTCTAATTCGCTATTTATTTTTAATTTTTATTTTCTTCATTGTCAAGTCTTAGAGTAAGAGCCGTTACTGATTTTTGACCATTAGTTTGACTTATCGTTTTTTTTTTAATAAAAATGGATCCTTTGTTTATGTAAATGCGATATGTTTCAAATGATTTGTATGGATTGAATAAAAACTGTACCTACTTACAATTTCTCTTCTCTCTAGTTAGAAAATAATTTTAATTTCACTCTTACTAACAAAGCTGTTTTTAATAGTTGACATAAACCAACAAAAACCCCGTTTTAGACGACGCTGAAATTATTGACAGTTGTCTCAAAAAGATTTTGACAGTCCTACTTTATCTTTGTTAATAAAAAAGTTATAACTATTAAACATAAAAATTTCACTAAAAATTTGCGATCTAATTTGTTCATAAGAGATTTAAACAAAATAAACTTTGAAAAATCTTGTTAATGAAAGTTATATAAAAACTCAAAACGAACATTTTAAGCTTTGGTAAATGTTTCTATGTTAATTTTTTACAAATATATGTAACTTTTAATAACGAGCTCTGAGGCGTACAGTCAGCTCACAGCGAATAAAAACCAATACATATACGTAAAATCCATGTAGATCCTTCTCCTCAGTCCTAATCCCTTTTCGGATGTGGTGACACCATAAAGCCTTTACAGTTTTTTCACGATTTCCCTCCATCCTTCTCTGTCCTGGGCTAGTTGTTTAGCTTCATGTAACCCTTGGTTAATCAATATTTTTGTTTGATCTGTCCAATGGCTTGGAGATCTTCCCCTAGGTCTCTTTCCTTCAACTATCAGTTTTTCCATCGTACCTGTTCTTCTAGCAATGTGTCGAAAATACTGCAAATATCGCTGTTGTATTTGTTTAAGCACTCTATCCTTTACTTTAAGTTGTTCTAATATCGATACGTTAGTGCGATGATCAATCCAGGATATTCTCAACATGCGGCGGTATAACCACATTTAAAAAGCGTCCAGTTTATTTTTATCTGCTTTCGTTAAGGTCCACGTTTCGGATGCATATGTGGCTATGGGAAAAATGAGCGCGCCTACCAGCCTTAGTTTTGTGTGCATTGTTATGCTAGAATTTTTCCAAATTGCTACCAGTTTCATCATAGCTGTTCTAGCAATAGTCAACCTTCTACGTATCTCTCTATCACACCCTCCGTCATTTGTTATTAGGACCCCAGGTATATGAAACTATTTACTACTTCAAAGCCCCCAATTTCTTTAATGTGTTGAAGATTATTCCGAGCTCTGTCTACTATCATGATCTTTGTCTTACTCCTATTTAGCTTTAGTCCATATGTTTTGCTTTTTTCCTCAGACATCTCATTATGCCTTCCATTTCTTCTTGATTTGCCGCGATTATTAAAGTATCATCAGTATATCGCAAGTTATTGATTTTTTGACCTCCTACTGATATTCCGCCCTTCCATCCGTCTAGTACCTTTCGTATAATGTGTTCGCTGAGATATTAAACAGGTTGGCGAGATTATGCATTCCTGCCTGACACCTGCCTCTGTTCTGAAATGATCGGAATCGGTGTTGTTTATTTTTACTGTGCACTTATTATTTTCATATAGACTTCTAATTAGTTGAATTAAGTGGTGGGGTGTTCCCATTTCCGCTAGTATGAACCATAGCTGCTGCCATTTGACTTTATCGAAGGCCTTTGTGTAATCCACAAAGTACATAAGCATAGAAGTATTGAATTCACGAGTTTTTTCGATTAGCTGTCTGACATTAAGGATGTGTTCTCTTGTGCCTTTTCCTGGGACAAATCCCGCTTGTTTTTCTGATATCTGAGGCAATAGAAAAGCTTTTAGTCTTTCATGTATTATATGAAGTAGAACCTTGCTTGCATGGGATGTTAGGGTTACCGTTCTGTAGTTGCTGCAATCTAGCGGAGTTCCTTTTTTGGATATAGGGATGAAAGTGGATGTTGCCCAGTCGTTGGGCCACTCATCCAACATCTTCAGTCTATTTTAAAACTTCTGCGGTGATCTGATCTGCGCCATGAGATTTTCTATTTTTCAACTTTTTGATTGCTTTTTCTACCTTTGACTTTAGAATGTTTGGTTCTCTCTTTTAGTGAACTCATCATGATTTGCATTCTGAGGATCATCTGCATATAGACTTCGACAATATTTTCTCCATACCTCCGCAATCCCTTTCTCGTGATTTATAATATGTTAATTTTGATCCATTATTGTTTGTGTGATTAGTTTAAATTCCCTGAATAGATATCGGACTTTGTTATATAGTTCATGAGATTCATACAGGTTTGCATGTCTCTCTAGTTCTTCCCATTCTTTCTTTATATGTTTATTTTTATCATCCCTACATGCTCTTTTAATTTCTCTATTTAACCTTGCTAATTCGTTTTTGTTGGTGTCGTTTTGATATATGAGAGATTTGATTCTCCTTCGCTCTTCGAGAAGTTGCAGCGTTCTGTCTGTCATCCAGTGTTTTCTTTTGATGATCTGTTTTTTCGGTTCTGGTTCTTTCTACAGAGGTTTCTATGGCATTTCTGAAACCTTTTCACATTTCTTCTGGGTTGTCTTGTGTGTTCAACATACTAGTTTCCTTTAATGCATCTCTAAATGTTTTCGGATTTGAAATCTCCAGCCTGTTTTGATTTTGGTGCGGCATTGTTCTTTTTAGCTTCATCTTGAAGCAAGCCCATAACAATTTATGATCGGATCCACATTCAGCTCTTGTTCTAGTTTTTACGTTTGGTAAAACATGTCTTCCATCTGTTTCTAATCAATATGTAGTCGATTTGGTTCTTGTATTCTCCATTTGGGCTGGTCCACGTCGATAAACGACAGGCATGACGTTTCAACATGGTGTTTACAATGGCCAAACTGTTTTCGGCTGCAAAACCTATTAAACGTTGGCCTCGGCTGTTTCTAATACCTAACCTATAGTTTCCTACATTTTGGATGTTATCATTTCTTGTTTCTCCTACCTTAGCGTTAAAATCGCCCATGATTATGAGTGGTTCTTTAGATGGAATATTTCTTATTGCGTCTTCAATAACGGAGTATACGTCTTCCACTTCATTGTCTAACGCGTCTGAGGTTGGCCTATAGACCTGAAGAATGTGCATTTTGTTTGGTGGTGCTAGTAAGGTTATTTTTATAAGTCTATCATTTATCGGTTGGTAATCATACACGTATTGTGAAACTTTTTTAGTCACCATAATTGCAACACCATTTCTTCCTGTGTCACTTGCTCCCGATATGTATACAACATGATCTGCCGTTCGGAAGTGTCCTTGTTCTTTCCAATGAGTCTCCGAAAGTCCGCATATTACTATATCCTATCTTTCGACTTATCTTCGTAGTATATGCAGTTTGCCTGGTTGCAATAATCCTCGAATATTCCAGGTTGTTATTCCTATTGCTTTTCTTAACTGAAAATCTGATTTTCTTCCAGGCGCCAATTTCGCATGTGTTGCCTGGTTGCTCACAAAAACATGTCCGATAGCCCATTTGACACTAGTTGGCCCGGAACCAACTGAGTGCCGATCACTAATCGGATCGCTAATCATATCTAACTGATTCGATACATTCATGATGGTGATGGTGGTTATAGAACGATCCAAAACGAACATTTTTTTTTTCGAGAAATTGACAATTGATTTACGCGAGCGGTTTACGCGCGCCCGTATTCGCAGCAAGCCGACGTCCGTTATTAAAAGTTCCATATCTTGGTCAAAAATTAAAAATGAAATCAAACATGGAACTGTCTTTAATTATATCAAAAGGATTTAATGTAAATAACTTTTTATTAGTACTGGAAAAAAATTAAAAAGAATTTTTTAGTTCAATTTTGAATTTACTTTTTTCATATTTTCATTTCTAGAGCAATTTACTTTCGTATTTCTTAAGCTATACAGTAGAGTTAACCAACTCAATCAATAATTGCTTTTTTAGTAGACAGCTGCATTTTTAGTTAGCTTTTTGCGATTTACGAATGTGTAACTAATTATTTATAATAAATATATGAATATTTAAAGTACATTTGTAAAATTATGTATCATAGTAAGTGTTAAATATGTAATTTTACAACAAATAAATACCTTTTAGAAATGAAAAACATTTGAGAAGCGAAAATACGTACCTACTATTTTTAAATTGATTTAAATTTACAGATTATTGGCAATTGTGCAAGGCTTTGAACGAAGAATTTTCACAAATTTAAGTTTAATTCTAGATCGCAATGATTTATTTAGGTATTAATTGATCTGTTGTTTTATTTTCAGCGGAGGCATAAAGTTTGCAGACCTGAATGAACATGAGAGTAAGTTTTTTTTTAATTATTCATAAATTTTGACAACTAAAACTTTTATTACCTTGTGGCCTTTATAGAAAAACATCACTTTTTGTAGTGGCTTATTTAAAGACATTTTTTGAAAACATATTTTGTTTTTCTTTAATAATTAACGATTTTTTCAAGATGCTCTTTTCTACAGCTAGCAGGATTGAGTTTATTTTTATTTAGACAGACAGCAACAATCAATTGTTTTACAACACATTTAGTTTTTTAGTTTGCGGTTAGAGTTGGTGTTTTGCATTCTTACTTTATATTTTGTGTTACATAAAAAATAGTTTCTTTACAAAAATGCATAGTGCAAGTTCTGACGATGAACCTGAACTAAAATCAAAACGTGCTATTACTAATAAAATGTAATTAGAAAATCAAGAGTAAGAGGTGAGGAATACACAAACTATAAAGGTTATGTTGTTCCATGTAAATCTGTTCCCGATAACCTAATATGCAAATGTCCACGGAAATGTTATTTATCTATTGATATTGAGATTAAAAATCAGATCTGGACAGCTTTTTATTCTATGAATAACAAGAACGAGCAAGTTTTATATTTACAGACCGTAATAGAAGCTACTGAAATAAAGCGTAGAGTGAACTTAGGCCTAGATAAAACTCCAACCTCACGAATAAAAAATAAGTCTTGAGAGATCCAGATCAATGTGATAATGCAAAGCGTAGTGTAGCCGCTGAACAAATCATACACCAATGCAGAGTCAAAAAGTTTTATTTAAAACAAAAAGAAATGGTCCAAAATAAGGACAATCATACCGTAGTTTTGTGTATTGATTACTCACTGTGTTGTGAGGTTTCTTATGAATCTGTGTAATAGGAATTTGTTGGAGAATGTAACCCATTATTTTCCTGTCAGGGGTCACTCGTATTTACCATGCGACCGTGACTTTGGGAATATAAAACGTGTTGTCCGACGTGCTGATAGAGTATGCACACCAGATCAGTATACCGAAATGATCCTCAAAGCTAGTAAAACTGGTCACTTTACTGTCCACAAGGTAAACAGTGACATAATATTTTCTTTTAGTACTTGGTGGACCCAATATTACAAGAAGACTGTGAACTCTGATGAAATATGTGGAAGAGGTTTTCCAAAGGAACAAAAAATACCGTTTCTACCTGTAAGGAACTTTGTTATAAAAACACTAGTCCAGGAAAAGTTGTAGTTAAGGAATTTATTGGGGGCTTTACTTCTTCAACATTTACCTTTAAATAAGTACCTTAACGTTCCTGAATTTCCAACAGACATTGCACATCCGTTTAGAAAAGTTAACATCCCTATTAACATTAAAAAATTAACGACATAAAAATATGTCATATATTAAAATGACAGTAAATACAATGTATATAAACATATATTAAGCTACATAAACAACTAGGTCTTGATAAAAAAACTCAATAAAATAAAAGACAGACCTAATTATCATACAGCAGGTCTATTAATATTCGTCAAATTTAATATTTTATTTTATTCAATGGTATTTCATTTTATTAGAGTATTATATTACTCTATTTAATTCTATATACATGTAAGTGAAGTTAGATCCTTTTTTCGTTTTACATATAACATAGGTTATCTCAAAATAAGGGATCTTTAAATAAAAGATTTCTGGTCTGTATTCATTATATAGTATATAGTATATATAGTATATTGTATAGTATATATAGTATATTGTATTATATAGTATATATAGTATATTGGCGGCGTTTATTTTATTAAAGTAATAAAGGACGCAACTATGCATGCGTATATATGAAAATAAAAATGTTTTTATTAAAGGATGACATAAAATACGTTTTCAATATTCCCCTATTTATTTTGTTAATCATAGCTTCCTTTGCTGGTCATAGTATGGCGCCATCTATTAGCGATTTAGAATGAGAGAAAAATTTAAATTTTTTAAAATTATCTTTTACACAAACCTTTTCCTGGTAATAAAAAACTCAGCAAAAAAACAATTATCTCATTTGGTGCAGTCGTTCTGCATTAGGTCTTAATATAGATTAGATTATACAAAGTTTATAATAATTAATGTGTTCAATATATTTGTATTGTTATTGAATAAAAAAAAAATATTTGTAAAAATAATAAGCCTAATTCAAACATAATATCACGTATAACGTTGATTTAAAAAAAAAATTGTAAAATTTATTTTTAAAAGATATTATTGATAACTATAATACTTAAATCTTTAAGTTGCCTATCATTCCATAACTAATAATAATCGCCTAATAATAATAAGAAAAAAGTAAAATTTTGTAAAATAATTATTTATTATTATTTAACAAATTATGGGTTAAATAAACAATTCATAATTTTAAATAATTGCAATTTTATAATCTGTACTACGGGTACCCCAAATTTAAATAAAAAACATACATTTTCGTTTATTCGAATCGAAGATATTGCGACTTTTATAAATTTGAAATTATAAATACAGTTCTTAAAATAGTAAAATCGAGGGTGCAAATCGCTTCGCTTTTAAGCCCTCATCTCTGGCGCATCATTGACGGCTAATTTTGAAAAGAATCGTTTTGAATTTTCTTGTCAAAACTTGATTTTTAAATCTTTCAAATAGGGCTTTTGAAATTTCTAAAGGTTTATAAACAAAAACCCAGGTTAATTTTTGAGAAAAAAAGGTTAACTCAGGTTTTAACGGAGGTAGGGCATTGTGTTTTTTTAAATTAACTTCCTACATGTTGATACCTCTGAGATATTTTAAATGTTTATAAGCTTCAAATCACAGTGCCTTTGTAAACCTATATTACAATATTTAACATAAACTTTTAAGTCATTAAATGATATATAAGTAATTGATAAAATAAGCCTTTTTCTTCAATTTCGTGCTTTCAAAATTCATGTAGATCCAATATTTATGTTTATGCATAATAACGTTGTAGATAAAAGCTTTTTTAGATTAAAAATTTTAATTTTGCAATAACTATTATTTGAAATTTTTATAGCTGAATATTTATCATATTGCCTCCATTCTCACGTGAAATCGAAAGTTCTTTGTGCATTTTTTGGTTACTTTTATAGTTACTTTTATAATAGTTTTGAAAAAATCGACTTTTGTACTATTTTTGCAATAACTAAGCAACAAATTAAAAAAAAATAGCGTTACAAACTCTCCTTTTAAAGGATTTTCTATACTTTTTCTGTAAAAATTGTCTCATTTGCCCTTATAATTTACCGGTCTTTACCTTTAGTATTTAAAATTACATAGCCATCTTACTGTGTTTTTGTTTATAAGTAAAAAATTTAAGTTTAATCTTTTGCATATTTTGTTTATTAGATACGTTATCACCAAAAGTGGATGTTAAATACATTTATCAGAGTGTCACAAAAATACTTCTATTTTGCTAGTAACTTTTATATTTATATTGCTCTTGTCTATTAAACTTTTGATATGTGGAATAAATATTTAACAACATTTAACAAAAACTCATTAACTAACAAACCGATCTATTTGAAATTTTGCACTCTTATATATACATATACTGTATAGACAAATACTGTATATTCCAGTGTAGACAGAATTGAAACGAGACAACTAGTGTGCTATGGTCACGTGAAGCGAATGAATGAAGATAGATGGCCAAAGAAAGCTTTAAATTACATACCACAGCAAAGAAGAAGTAGGGGAAGGCCTTCAGTTGCCTGGGAAGAAAATGTACGACACACAATGAGAGATAGAGTTATCAAAGAAGACGAATGGATGGACAGAAAACGATGGCGGTCGAAATGTGAGAGGCGACAGAGGCTATAGGAACCTCGCTTCCATTCTTTTTCAACGTCTTCATAGCTGGACAGTGTGTTACCTATGTATTTTATTTCCATTACTAGTTTAATGCTAATTCCAGCGACTTCCAGTTTACATCTTATTGGTTCTTTACTGATTACTATTGTTCTAATATTGTCAGTTGAAATCGTCATGTTAAATTATTTTGCTCTTGTATTAAATCTGCGAACTAATCTCTGAAGGCTATCTTCATTTTGAGCTATCAATGTTACGTCGTTTGCATAACCCACGTCGCCTGTTCTCCATTATGTATTCTCTTAATTTATTGACGGTCTTTGTGAGTTTATCCACGATTAGATTGAGTAGCATAGTGCTTAGTGAATCCTCTTGTCCTATTCACTTGCCTGTATCTATAGGTTCCGTAAGTTCTCCATAATTTCTGACTTACATCTTATTGTTTTGACATACGTTTTTAATTGTTTTTATAATATCCAGCGGGAACTCTTTATTATACAAGAGATGTAGATATTGCATCTTACTCTGCCAAATGCGTTCTTCAAGTCGAACATAGGAATGCGGGCCTATTGTATTATAACGCTTTCTCTGTAATCTATTTGATGACGAATATTAATATAACAATCTATCGCTAAGTAGTAAAAGACATATCGGTCAACCGTCCAACAGATGGAGGTGAATCTTCTATGGAAGCAACAGTCCGTCGATGAATAAGCAAAATTGCATATATATATATTATATATATATATATATATATATATATATATATATATATATATATATATATAAAGAAAAAAGAATAAGAATAATAAGAAATAAGAATAATTTTCTGTTCGTTGTGATAAAATCTCATTTTTGACACTGCCATTTGGGCTTACCCATGTCAATTTTCGTTGAGGATTTTTATCAAAAAAAGAGTTTCGTGGAATCGATCATGATCATGGATCGATGTATTACATAAAAATTATATAATGTTGGCATCATCTTTTTTTTAATCAAAAACTAGTTTATTGTAACAGTTGTTGGCGTAATATTTTTTTATATATTTTATTAATTTTATTTCGGAATAACCCACAATTTGACTTTAAAATAGGTTTCCACTTAAAAAATGGTTCTCAAAATTTTCGAAGTGAAAATCGAAACGTCCTAATAAACTTATTTTACACTAAAATTGTGGTTAATTTCCAATAAAAATGGTAA